TAGATTTCTCGAGATATTTTCTTACGAAGTTTTGTTATAGCATCTATAACGGCTTCCGGTTTAGGTGGACAGCCCGGCAAATATACATCCACAGGAATTAGCTTATCCACGCCCCGAACAGTACTATAAGAATCGGTACTGAACATACCTCCTGTAATTGTACAGGCTCCCATAGCAATAACATATTTTGGTTCGGGCATTTGCTCATATAATCGAACTAAAGAAGGAGCCATTTTTCATAGTTACGGTGCCCGCTGTTAAATGAGGTCTGCCTGCCTAGGACTAGAGCGTGGTACCAGTCCATAACGATCAAAGTCAAATCGCGATCCTATTAATGAAGCAAATTCAATGAAGCAACAACTAGTACCATAGAGAAGCGGCCCATAAACTAGATAGTCTTGACCAATTTGAAAGATCATTTAATGTAGTAGAAATAACTGAATTTTTTGGTTTTTTGATCAAGTAAGGGAAACTCAATGGAATTCATAACTGTCTCAATGTTTTGTTTAATGTCTAAATATTCAAGAATTAAGACCATTCTAATGCTCCCTTTCGCCATGCATAAACTAAACCAACAATTAGGATAAGCACGAAGATGAAAGCTTCTATAAATACGGATACCCCCAATACATCAAAACTCATTGCCCACGGGTAAAGAAAGACTGTTTCAACATCAAAAACAACAAAAAACTAGAGCAAACATATAATAACGGATTTGAAATTGTAACCAAGCATCGCCCATCGGTTCTATTCCGGATTCATAACTAGAAAGTTTTTCTGGCCCTTTCCTAATTGGAGCTAAAATTCCAGAAATTAGAAATGCCAAAATAGGAATAAAGATCGATATTATTAGAAATGTCCAAAAAATATCATATTCATAAAGCAAAAACATAAATGTCCTCCTAGGAATGGGGAAAATATACTGGATTCATATTAATTCTGAGTCGATTTGAATTGAAATTTTCAAATTCTTAGATTCATTAATAGAATCTAAATAGAAATGCTTTGTATTTTCTTAAGTTTACATTTTTTCTAATAATTGAGATTATTATCTGAGTATACTAATACTCATATTATTCTATCCACTATTAATCTATTCGAATAGAAATTACTTTATTCATTCTTTCTATTACAAAAAGTATTGAAAGTATATTTATACTAGTAGTATTACTAGTATGGAGTATTCAATATAGTACTAATCTAGTACATATAGTATTAGTACATATATATTTGTAATGACAGATATTAGATAAGAAATCTAAATCTGAGTAGTATCGGTAGTAATATTAGGGCTATACGGACTCGAACCGTAGACCTTCTCGGTAAAACACATCAAACTATTATTTATTATTATCAAAATGATTTGAATTGTTTGAAAGACCCAACGTGCATTTTTTTTGCATTGGGCTTTTTCATTAACTGATAGAAATATCAATTAGTCTACCATCTTTTTTCTTTACACAAAGAAAAAGGAAATGACTCCCTGTGCTCTGATTTCTTATTTAGATCAAAATCTAAGAGCACTACCAAAGTTTTTCAAAGAAGAAGGTTATCCTGACGTAGGTCTGCTTCTGGCCTGGATCAACTTAAGTTAAATGGACTCTCTATCAACCTACTTCAATAAAAATATCAAATAGGAAATGAAACTTCATACACCTTAAAGTTCATAAGATAGGAAGAAAAGAGATTTTTTTTGAGGTCCCTAGACTCATTGCCTAGCATTGAATAGATTAAGTATTCACCGTATCAATATCTCAAATCCATTATGGATTCCATTTGACGTCTAAATCCTTTGTCAGGCTATTGTTCTCTTATTTTGTTCCGGGAGTAAGACATCGATTTATCAATTAAGATCAACTCTTTTAATTACATGATGGACTCCTATGAAAAAACATTGGCGCATGTGTAAACGAGGTGCTCTACCTAACTGAGCTATAGCCCTTGTGCTTTGGATACATATTTGATCATATTCGATAAATAAATTCTTGTCAAGATAAATATGACATGATCCAATCTCTTTGATTTATATTGCGTTTGTATTGTTTATAAGTAATATAACATTTATAATCCATTGATCTGATAGACAGCTACTTTTTTTATTTAGGATGATAAATGACCTACTTAACTCAGTGGTTAGAGTATTGCTTTCATACGGCAGGAGTCATTGGTTCAAATCCAATAGTAGGTAAGGTATTGGTAGAACTTATTAGATACCATTAATTCCGGTATCTAATAAGTTTTTCTACTCACCATTGTTTTATTGTAATTTTCTATCTTTTTTCTATTTTTTGGCTGCACCAACTTGTTATGAGATCATATTGATAGCCTCTACTCGTGTCCTAGCTCGCCGGAGAGCTAGATTTGCTTCAATTGTTTGTCTCTTGCCTCAGCCTTATTCAAGTTAGCTTCTGCTATTTGAAGAGTTTGTTGTGCTTCTTGTGGATTAATGTCACTACCCCTTTCTGCATCATTTACTAAAATAGTGATCTCATTATTGCCTATTCTAGCAAAACCGCCCATCAGAGCCATCGTTAACCATCGGTCGATAAGGCGTATTCTCAAAATACCTATATCTAAAGATGTGGCAATAGGCGCATGATTTTTTAATACCCCAATTTGTCCACTATTAGTAGATAAAATAATTTCTTTCACTTCTGAATCCCAAACAATTCGATTGGGGGTCAGTACACAAAGATTTAAAGTCATTTCTTGAATTTGTTCTCCATTTCTAAGTTAAGTTCGTAGCCTTCGCAGTAGCTTCATCGATATTACCCACCAAATAAAAGGCTTGTTCAGGAAGACTATCTAATTCTCCAGAAAGAATCAATTTAAATCCTCGAATTGTTTCTGCTAGACCAACATATTTCCCTGGGGAACCGTAAATACTTCTGCTACGAAAAAAGGTTGTGATAAGAAACGTTCAATTTTTCGTGCTCTTGCTACGGTTAAGCGATCCTCTTCGGATAATTCGTCCAACCCAAGAATAGCTATAATGTCCTGAAGTTCTTTGTAACGTTGTAACGTTTGTTTCACTCTTTGCGCCAGTTTTCATAATGTTCTTCCACCGACGATGCGAGGTTGGAGCATGGTTGACGTTGAATCTAAAGGATCTACTGCTGGATAGATACCTTTGGCAGCTAATCCTCTTGATAGTACAGTAGTTGCATCCAAATGTGCAAATGTCGTGGCAGGAGCAGGATCAGTCAAATCGTCTGCAGGTACATAAACTGCTTGAATAGAAGTTATAGACCCTTCTTTGGTAGAAGTAATTCTTTCTTGTAAAGTACCCATTTCAGTACCCAGGGTGGGTTGATAACCCACAGCGGAAGGCATTCGGCCCAATAAGGCGGATACTTCGGATCCGGCTTGGACAAAACGGAAGATATTGTCGATAAATAGAAGGACGTCCTTGCTCATTGACATCTCGGAAATATTCTGCCATAGTTAGGGCAGTTAAACCAACTCTCATACGAGCTCCGGGCGGTTCATTCATTTGACCGTAGACTAGAGCAACTTTTGATTCCGCAATATTTTTTTCATTATTACTCCGGATTCTTTCATTTCCATATAAAGATCATTTCCCTCACGAGTACGCTCACCTACTCCGCCAAATACGGATACACCTCCATGAGCTTTGGCAATGTTATTGATCAATTCCATAATGAGAACTGTTTTACCTACCCCAGCTCCACCGAAAAGTCCTATTTTTCCGCCACGGCGATAAGGAGCTAAAAGATCGACTACTTTAATTCCTGTTTCAAAAATGGATAATTGTGTATCTAACTGTATAAAGGCAGGCGCAGATCTATGAATAGGAGATGTTGTGCGAGTATCTACAGGACCCAAATTATCAATAGGCTCTCCAAGCACGTTGAAAATTCGACCTAGGGTTGCTCCACCGACTGGAACACTTAGAGCAACTCCCGTGTCAATCACTTCCATTCCTCTATTTAGACCATCTGTAGCACTCATAGCTACAGCTCTAATTCTATTATTTCCTAATAATTGCTGTACTTCACACGTTACGTTAATTTGTTGGCCAACCGTATCTCGACCTTGAACTATCAGAGCGTTGTAAATATAAGGCATCTTCCCTGGTGGAAAAACTACATCGAGTACCGGACGATTATTTGCGTGATACGCCCCAGATTTTTTTTTTCAAGTGCAGAAACCTCAGTATCAGAAGGAGGAGGAGTTATTGTCATATTAAAAAATATCCATTTTTTTGAAAAAAAAAAATTGAAATTAAGAAAAAACTGTTTGATAACAAAGCAAGTTGATCGGTTAATATTCTTAATTTTCTTAATATTTAATAATATATAAAAGAATAAATGTAAGTTAATAATCGATTTTCTTGGTACCATCCAACCAATTCAATTGTTTTTAAATTTCAATGAGTGAATTTTCAAGGTCAACCCAGTCATTATGAAAATTTTAATTGGATGAAATCTTTTGAAAGTCTTTCATTTGTTTATCATTCTAGATTATAGACAATACTATCTATATTATCTATGTAATTCGAACCTGAACTTTGTTTGTTTATGATTCCGTTTTTCTATCTCATTGGTCCTTCTTTTTTCTTTCCTCAGCATAGGATTTATACTATGCAGATTCTTTTTACCAATTTTTCTTTTTATTGGGCAAATTCTGCCGATTTTGACATCTAGGATTTACATATACAACATATATCACTGTCAAGGTCAAGAGTATATTTTTATTATTTAGATTAGAAAATGAGATTCCAAAATTCAAAAAAAAAAAAATAAGAGACTCAAAAAAAAACGGTTGGGTTGCGCCATACATATGAAACAGTATAGAATAATGATGTAGTATTTGCCAAATCAAATATCATGGTAAAATTGAACAATGACCCATTCGGATTAATTGATAATATTAGTTGATGGATCATTTGTAAAAAGGTTTTCTTAACTCCTAAGTTATGTCGAGTAGACCTTGTTCTTGCTATAATTCTTAATTCATGCGTTGTAGGGGGGGGATTTATGTCACCACAAACAGAAACTAAAGCAAAGGTTGGGTTCCAAGCTGGTGTTAAAGATTATAAATTGACTTATTATACTCCTGAATATCAAACCAAAGATACTGATATCTTGGCAGCATTCCGAGTAACTCCTCAACCAGGAGTTCCGGCTGAAGAAGCAGGTGCAGCGGTAGCTGCAGAATCTTCCACTGGTACATGGACAACTGTGTGGACCGATGGACTTACCAGCCTTGATCGTTATAAAGGACGCTGCTACGAGATAGAGCCTGTTCCTGGAGAAGATAATCAATTTATTGCTTATGTAGCTTATCCCTTAGACCTTTTTGAAGAAGGTTCTGTTACTAACATGTTTACCTCCATTGTAGGTAATGTATTTGGGTTCAAGGCTTTACGCGCTCTACGTCTGGAAGATTTGCGAATCCCTAATGCTTATGTTAAAACTTTCCAAGGTCCTCCTCACGGAATCCAAGTTGAGAGAGATAAATTGAACAAGTATGGACGTCCCCTATTGGGATGTACTATTAAACCAAAATTGGGTTTATCCGCTAAGAATTATGGTAGAGCAGTTTATGAATGTCTCCGCGGGGGACTTGATTTTACCAAAGATGATGAAAATGTGAACTCCCAACCATTTATGCGTTGGAGAGACCGTTTCTTATTTTGTGCCGAAGCAATTTATAAATCACAGGCCGAAACAGGTGAAATCAAAGGACATTATTTGAATGCTACTGCGGGTACATGTGAAGAAATGCTAAAAAGAGCTGTATTTGCTAGAGAATTGGGCGTTCCTATCGTAATGCATGACTACTTAACAGGTGGATTCACTGCAAATACTACCCTGTCTCACTATTGCCGCGATAATGGTCTACTTCTTCATATCCACCGTGCTATGCATGCAGTTATCGATAGACAAAAAAATCATGGTATGCACTTTCGTGTATTAGCTAAAGCCTTACGTATGTCTGGTGGAGATCATATTCACGCTGGTACTGTAGTAGGTAAACTTGAAGGAGAGAGGGAGATTACGTTAGGTTTTGTTGATTTACTACGTGATGATTATATTGAAAAAGATAGAAGTCGCGGTATTTATTTCACTCAGGATTGGGTTTCTTTACCAGGTGTTATCCCTGTTGCTTCAGGGGGTATTCACGTTTGGCATATGCCTGCTCTGACCGAGATATTTGGAGATGATTCTGTACTCCAATTCGGTGGAGGAACTTTAGGACACCCTTGGGGAAATGCACCTGGTGCCGTAGCGAATCGAGTAGCTCTGGAAGCATGTGTACAAGCTCGGAATGAGGGACGTGATCTTGCTCGCGAGGGTAATGCAATTATCCGTGAAGCTTGCAAATGGAGTCCTGAATTAGCTGCTGCTTGTGAAGTCTGGAAGGAAATCAAATTTGAATTCCCAGCAATGGATACTTTGTAATCCAGTAATAATCATTCGTTCTATTAATTTCCATTAAACTCGGCCCAATCTTTTACTAAAAGGATTGAGCCGAATACAATACACAATACAAAAATACTTGTTGTATCTAGAATGAATCCTATAGATCTTTCGGATTGATCTATTTTTTTTCTAGTTCATTCTTCTTTTTTGATTTGGAATAGAATGAATTAAAATAGAAATATTTTCTATTTAAAAATGAGAATAGAAATATTTTTTTATTTGTTTTCTCGATTGTATTCTTTTTTTCAACACTAATATTGACAACAGTGTATCAAACAAATATAATCTGATCGTGAATCAATGGATGGATTGACTCATGTCACATAGGTTTTTTACTTCATCAAATGGTGGATTCATTGTATTTTGATTTTGTTTGATACAAACAAGAAGTTTTTTTTCTTGAAATAGAAATATGAAAAAAATAATACTAATTTAAAACTATATTAATAGACAAATAACTACAGTACTGTACTAAACAAGTCGTCTATCATTTTTGATTCTCATTTTTTCTTTTTTTCATTGTATTGTAATATAATGTAATATGTAACATTTGATTCTATTATTTATAGAATTCCATCTTTTTTTTATTGCGATTGGATATACAGATCCTTGTTTGTAATTTTATTAGGGTTGCTAACTCAATGGTAGAGTACTCGGCTTTTAAGTGCGACTCCATTTTTTACACATTTCTATGAACTAATTGGTTCATCCATACCATCGGTAGGGTTTGTAAGACCACGACTGATCCAGAAAGGAATGAATGGAAAAAGCAGCATGTCGTATCAACGGTGAATTCAAAAAATTTTTCATTCATATTGGATCCGACCAATCTTTTTCTTTGAATTGTTGGCTGGGAACAAATGAATTCCGTTGGGTTGAATTAATAAAGGGATAGAGCTTAGCTGCTCGAATTCTAGGGAAAGAAAAAGCAACGAGCTTTCATTTTTTATTGGAATGATTACCACATCTAGTTATACGTTAAAAAAGGATTAGTGCTTGCTGTGGAAAAAGTTTTTCCCACGAATGGATTAAGGATTTTTGTTATGAGTCCTAATTATTAGCTATTCCCCATTATGTTATGGGGTAGCAAGAAATGTGTAGAAGAAAGAGTATATTGATAAAGATATTTTTTTCCAAAATCAAAAGAGCGATTGGTCCCCAAAAAATAAAGGATTTCTAACTAGCTTGTTGTCCTAGAAAAATTAGAAGGAACAAGCGAGGGGAGATAGTCCATTAATGTGTTTTAACTCGTTTTCTAGGTATCTATTCATATTTGTTTTTTATTTCAATTCGAATATAGATATAGAATACCTTGTTTTGACTGTATCGCACTATGTATCATTTGATAATCCAATGAATCTCTGATCCTTTGACCAAATATCATTTCTAAAATGAAGGAATATAAAGTCTATTTAGAACGAGCTAGATCTCGCCAACAGCACTTCCTATACCCACTTATTTTTAGGGAGTATATTTATGGACTTGCTTATAGTCATAATTTGAATAGATCCATTTTTGTGGAAAATATAGGTTATGACAAGAAATATAGTTTACTAATTGTAAAACGGTTAATTACTCGAATGTATCAACAGAATCATTTAATCATTTGGGCTAATGATTCTAACAAAAATCCATTTTGGGGGTATAAGAATAATTATTATTCTCAAATAATATCAGAGGGTTTTGCCATCGTCGTGGAAATTCCATTTTTCCTACAATTAAGCTCTTCCTTAGAGGAGGAAGAAATCATCAAATCTTATAAAAATTTGAGATCAATTCATTCCATTTTTCCCTTTTTGGAGGATAAATTGACATATTTGAATTATGTGTCAGATATACGAATACCCTATCCTATCCATCTGGAAATCTTAGTTCAAATCCTTCGATACTGGGTGAAAGATGCCCCTTTTTTTCATTTCTTACGGCTGTTTCTTTGGAATTGGAATAGTTTTATTACTACCAAAAAATCAATTTCTACTTTTTCAAAAAGTCATCGAAGATTCTTCTTGTTCCTCTATAATTTTTATGTATGTGAATATGAATCTATCTTCGTTTTTCTACGTAATAAATCCTCTCATTTACGATTAAAATCTTTTAGCGTTTTTTTTGAGCGAATTTTTTTTTATGCAAAAAGAGAGCATCTTGTCAAAGTTTTTGCTAAAGATTTTTCGTATACTTTAACATTCTTCAAGGATCCTAACATTCATTATGTTCGATATCAAGGAAAATGCATTCTGGCTTCAAAGAATGCGCCTTTTTTGATGAATAAATGGAAACACTTTTTTATCCATTTATGGCAATGTTTTTTTGATGTTTGGTCTCAACCCAGAATGATCAATATAAACCCATTATCCGAACATTCATTTCAGCTGTTAGGCTATTTTTCAAATGTGCGACTAAATCGTTCAGTGGTACGGAGTCAAATGCTGCAAAATACATTTCTAATAGAAATTGTTATCAAAAAACTTGATATAATAGTTCCAATTATTCCTCTAATTAGATCATTGGCTAAAGCGAAATTTTGTAATGTATTAGGGCAGCCCATTAGTAAGCCGGTCTGGGCCGATTCATCTGATTTTGATATTATTGACCGATTTTTGGGAATATGCAGAAATCTTTCTCATTATTATAATGGATCCTCAAAAAAAAAAAGTTTGTATCGAATAAAGTATATACTTCGGCTTTCTTGTATTAAAACTTTGGCTTGTAAACATAAAAGTACTGTACGCGCTTTTTTGAAAAGATCAGGTTCAGAAGAATTCTTGCAAGAATTCTTTACAGAGGAAGAAGAGATTCTTGCTTTTCTTTTTCCAAGAGATTCCTCTACTTTGCAGCGGTTACATAGAAATCGCATTTGGTATTTGGATATTCTTTTCAGTAACGATCTGGTCCATGATGAATGA